CATAGAGGACACACCATAGCCTCCCAAAACAGGCATCCTGCACAGTGAGGATATTCCAAACGAGCAAACCCACATCTGCACCTGGGACAGACATCACAGAGACAGCAAGAACCTCTTCATGCGATGCTGCCCACATCCCTGCTTGCAGGGATAACACGGCCCCTGACAGTGGCAGTAGTTTTGATGACCAGGTTCATGCCCAGCTCCTTACCACATACTCATCCTCGTAGCCCTCGTCGTCAGTCTCGCCCGTGTTTGGATCACAGTCCTTGACAGTGAACTTCATCATGCAGCTGAAGGTACAGGCCACTGGAGGTGGGGAGGCAAAGGCAAAGCTCAGTTACCACCAGACCTGTGCTCCCCTGCGGCACAGCAGGGCTGGGAGATTTGGGGAGCTGGGTTCTCCCCATCACTATCAGCAGCACAGGCTTAGCCAGTGACCCAGAGGGCTCTCCAATGGTTTCTGGCTCTCCACGACAAGGTATTTATTTGTAATATTAAGGCTAGCAAAGAGTGATAAAGACAGGCTCATGATGGCTGTTCAAGGCCCAGATCAAGTGCTACTACTGCAGTTGTATTGGGAATACTAAACATGTCCCACCAGTGCCTCCTGAAGAGGCAAGATCCTTATCCAGGGATGGTTGCTGCACCTCTGAAATGAAAGCAGCTTGCACTGCACACAGCAGCTGATGAACAGCGGAGAAGAGGAAGCCATGACTCGCGCCCCCAAAGATGGGCACTGCTGAGTGACCAGCAGCAACACAGAGGTGAGCACTCCCAGGATACAAACCAGGGAGACCAAAGCACTGGCAAGGCCTGGTTCATGTTCTGGACAGTGACAAATGAGGGGATATTCAGTACAAACAGACATCCCTGGAATTCCAGCAATTTGTCTGAAATGCCCTTTTGCTACTCAGAGCCTCTGGGCACCTGCAGCACTTTACAAGTACCAGGCTCCCCCCACACTAACACAAATAACAGACCAGCTAAAGGACATGCCAAGGTACACAGGAGACAACTCAGCAGAGAGCTGAACACTCATCTGCCAGCTCCCACAGCCTGACTTGATAGCACTGCAGCACAAGGGAAGCAGGAGAGGAGAAGGGAGGCCTGACAGCCCCTGGCAGCAAGGAGAAGGCATGCTCAGCATCACTCAGGGCTGCACCCACACACGGGCTATAAATACCTGGCTTGGATGCAAGGTAGAACATGTGGGGGTGAGCAATAGGGTATGCTTGATTGGGGGATGTCAGGCAAGTAGAGAGGGCAAACTGCTCACCTGCTGTTGGATCCTCCTCAGACAGAGCCACCAGTGTGTAGCAGGTTCCTGGCTGGTTGTACACCAGGGTTTTGGCAGGGACATAGCCAATGACCTCATAGCCCTCCGTCGGCTCCATCTGCACAGTGACATTCTCCAGGATCTGGTCGTTCAGGGTGTTGGTGCAGTCAAACTGAAGAGGAAAGGGGAGAGCAGCAATGGCTTGAAGCTGCTCGCTGTGGTTCTGACACTCACTTGAGGCAGTGGGAGCATGGTGCCAGCTCCTGAACCCCAGCTCTTTGTCTGAGCAGCACACCTCACATCAGCGGCTGCTCACAGGGCTCCTGGGCCAGCTTAGTCACAGAGCAACTGACAGCTCCTCCTTTAAATGCTTTAGGGGAGAAACCGAAACCACGCAGGGAACTCCAGTGCTCCAGAAAACTTCTTTTTTAAAGGAAACAACACAAAGTGAGCTGATTCAACGAACTATCCAATGCTGCCCTCTGCAACCCAGGCAGGAGCACGGATTCAGTGAGGGCAGACTTCTGCCTGTTTCCGTTCACCAGCTTTATCCTCTAAGTGTACTTTGTCCTTTCTCCCTAGATGGCAATTCCCAAGTTAACTCTTTGCTGTATGGCAATGGGTGCTGTGCTGCCCATATCTTCTCACTTGATGCTACAGGGACACAGTGCCCCACAGCAGAGGGGCAGATGATCCTTTGCATGGCTCAAACCAGGGGCAGTTTCAGCAAGTCTAAACTTGCTGATTAGACTTTGTTCCGGCTGCAATGACACATCACTTAACCTCATACAACTGCATCTGGTGGATGGACAACACAAAGATCAGCCCCTGCGAGGACTGTGTAAGCAGTTCAGAGCTCTTGAGGAAGGAGCTGGCTAAGGACAAGACTCTGCTGCTCACAGCTGTGCAGGAGTCCCTGCGTCTCCATCTCCCCAAGGCCCAGGCAAAGATGCTGGCACATCACTCCTAACATCTCACATGTAGCAGCAGGGATGTACAGACAGGGCCAAGAAGCACCAGCACTACACAGGCTGAACCAAAACATAGGGATGAAGAGCTCTCCCCCTCCACGTCCCCTTCTTGTGTGCCCTTTGCAGCCTCTCAGACACAGAAAGCTTCACTCTTTTATGCCTAAAACACATGCCTGGGGACCCTGAGGAAAGAACACAGCTCCCCTTGCCCACTGCTCAGTGAGAACAGCCCCATCTAGTGCTTGATCTGACTGTAGCTGTAAACACCATCCAGCCACACACACACTCCCCAGTTCATTTTTTCTAGGGCTCTGCATCCTGGATGAGAAACTAAGAACTCCCCATCGCAGTGATGGGCTTTGAACACAGACATCCCTGAGCTGTTTCGTCCCAGTGGAGCTTTTAGCCAGGCAGGAGCTTGGTTTCAAGGATCTTGGAGCACTGCGTGCCAGAGCCACCCACCTGGAACACCATGTGGCTGACAAAGGTGTGCTTGGTGCAGCGAACCACATACTCCGTCTCCAGCTCTGTCAGGGCAACGGGCTCTGGGGAAGACTTGAAGAGTGGGCCCAGGCCCCGGAACTCTGGGATCGCCCCCAGTTGCTCTGAAAGAAAGAACGTGGGAACTATTGCCTTCCCCACAGAAGGGTGTCAGCAGCTTCAAAGCCCACGTTTAAGCTGCCAGAAGCTACTGCAGCAAGGAACTATCCATCAAACATTCATAAGCCTTCACCAGGGACTTAAAAGAAGGCAGAATCATCCTTTGCCCACATCTATTGCAAGACAAAGAACACGACTGCAGGCACCGCCGCCTCCAGGAGGGAACAGTTGACTAAAAGTGGGGACTCTAAGTCACTCTGAAAGGAGCTGGGAAGGATGCAGAGGGGCTGAGGCAGGCCCAGCAAGAGGGGGCTGAGGCATAGGAGAGGCCTTGCATCAGTTTACCTTGGAATATTTCTTGCCGTGTTGCTGCCACCTTCTCTGGCTGTTTGACCACAGCAACGGGGGCATTTTCTGAAAAAGAAAACATTTATCTATAATACATAAACAACCCCAGAAGATTTGCAGGTGAAGACTAAGAAGCAACTGAATCAGGAAACAGATAAATGTCTGGAGATGGATTTGGCTGAGGAAAGGAAGGGAGCTCATCTCTCATCTTGCTAGGGACCATACACCCACATTTCGCTTCCTAAACCCCTTTGGAACTGCAGCAGCTCCAGTGGGGATTACCAACTATTACTATTATTAGCAGTTGGACTAAACCAAAACACTAATGTGGGAGCAACCAGATTTGCTGGCCTCAGTCTTCACAGAAGATGTAATCCCACAACATTCAAACAGGATGGAGCTCAGCAGTTCCCAACGAGCCCAATGCAGTCTGTTGTCTAAGGGCTGGAGTGCAAGGGAGTTACTAGCAGGCTGTACAAGCATTCAGGGACTGCTCCTCACCTGCCCTTTGCTCGATGACAGGAGCTGTTGCCAAAGGAACGGATTTCAAGTCAAAGGGTTTCTCGGAGGGCTCCAGGGTGTACTGGTGCAGAGCCCTCTCCAGGCCAGGGATGGACACCGTCAACCCTGCAGACAGAACCTACAGGTCACCAAAACCACAGACACTGCCAGCTCTGTGTCACCTGTTAAACCAGGGAAGAGGTGCAGTCCTGTTTTGAGGAGTTCCTGCATTACCATTCAGGATGTAGCCAGCATTGAGGGCTTTCTGCTTCTGCTCCAGAACATTCAGGTAGAAGGTGGCTCTGTCTCTCACTTCATTGTCATCATCCATCACACACCTGAGGGGAAAGTAGAAAACTTCCTTCAGTGCAAGGCAGCAGAGTCCACATGAATGAATCCAGGTGACTAAGTCACTTTACAGGGCCAAAGAAAACATGCCATAGGAGACAACCACCAATCTACTAGTGGTTAGTGTATTAGAACAGCAATCAGATGCCACACGTGGCTTCATTTCACTTTACTGTGCTGAATGCAGCAGTGATCCCATCCCAGGATCCCAGGTACCCACTGCACCTTCTCAGATCCACAGCTGAAAGAGGCTAGACATACATGGGGATGCTAACAAGCTCTCAAACGAACAGGGTATTTTAGCCAGGATTTTGAGAAACTCTAAGCTACAACTCACCTTTTCAGTAACACCAAGATACTGGGTAACATCTCCTCATTCTGGGCTCCAAACTTGGCCAGGGCACTTACAGCACCTGCAGCACAAGTCATGAAAACGGATTTAAGAAAGCAAAGAAATCAGCTGAGGTCTCCTGGCCTTGATCAAATATCATGTCAGAGATGCTAGCCCTGGTAACGCATTACTGCGACTAAGAAGAGGCAGGTGTATTACAGCAAAGTGCCCGCAAACCTCCCTGTCTGGTTTCAGAGTCACTGCATCTCCTTCCCCACTCTCAGCTGCAGGCCACCTCTTCCATCACACCGCTGCTGTGTAAAAAGATCTGCTCAGGACTAGAGCAAATCACAGTCCTCGAATCAGAGGATTCACACACTGCATTTCCCTAAGGCCCATCATAGGGCAGATAGCTTTCCCATCTGCCTCTTACCTGCCCGCACTTCCTCATGCTCCAGGACAACCCTGTTGTAGATGAAGCGGATGTATTTGGAGGGGTTGTTGGTTTTGGGCCCTTCCTGCCCCAGGAGGTGCAGGATACGTGTGGCCAGCACTGTGAACTCGCAGTCCTCGATGAACTCGCAGAGGTGAGACAGGCCTGTCTCCTTGCTCTCTGAGTTCTCCTCAATGATGCTAATGATGCAGTCCACGATGGCTCGCTTGTACTCAAAGCCACCCTAAGGAGCAAGAGGGAACTGCTCAGCTGGAAATCTCAGGAGTATTTGAGAGACTCTGAACTGAGCAGGCAGGAAAGCATTTCCTTCAATAGGTGCCTCACACTCAGTGCTGCTACTGTGTTTGAAATAAGGGCAGTGATACTGTCCCCACTTCTGACCCCATTTACACCCAGAGGTGTATTCAGCTAATATTCAAGCTCTCTTGCCAGCTCCTGCCAGAATGGCTGCAGTGAAGAAAAACAAGTCCTAAAGAGAGTAAAAGAATCCATCCACCTAATACCTCCTTCAAAATCCTCTGCTGCTATAATCAGTGCATAAAATCAGCCATATGGGAGGAGAAAAAACCACCAGACATCTGAGGATGAATCATGAGAGAAATATATTAAGGATCATACCTGCCACTGCAGGACCCAGCAAACAGCCCCATCAATGTGGGAAGACAGGCAAGCAATCCCTTCCCAGCACAGCCCTACCCCAACGTGTGTTAATGCTCCGTTATCTTCAGACAGTATTTACCAGTGTCCTCAATACACACCAGGGGATTAAACTGCACACTGTCCTCTGCCAATCACAGTGCTGGGCATTGGGGATCTTTCTGGAGCTACTTTGGATTTAAAAAAAGCTTTAAAACAGAATGGTTTGAACTGAGGAGCCATGTTCAGAATGATACCATCCACCCACAGAAAATCTGGGAAAGGCGAATGGTACATTTTTCACAGGAGCAAACAAGATGCTCCAGTTTGCTCCCAAACAAGAGGCTGTAATTGGCAGAAGTGATGTCAGAGCAGGCAGTGGTGCCAGCTGTGCTCCAGGCACGTTAGCTGGGTTAGAAACAGCCTCAGCAAACCTCTGCAAAGCTGCCTTTCTGCCATTTATGTCTGACTGAATGCAGAGAATGGTTGTAGGTCCTCGTGATCCCTCCACTGCCACAGCACAGAAAACAGAACAAAAGTGCTCCCATGTCATCAATAAATAGGTTGCTTTCAGATCTTTGTGTACAAGACAAAACTTCTTGGAATTTGCTGTCAAAGTATAAAAGAAAGCTGGTTCGGATGTGGAACAGACACGGGCTGCCAACAGATCTGCTGCTGGCTGCATTTGCTTTGAGAGTTAATAACCCCCAGAAAAATCAAAGAATGAAAACCACAGTACAGCTATGCCTGTGCACAGGACCATGGTGCACAGCTGGCCACTGCTGCAAGTTAGCTGCAAGCCTTCAGAGAGGCTCTTACTGAGTGCTGTGCAGCAAAAGCTGGGCTCTCACAGGGCCCCTGTGCACTCCTGCAGTTCACACACACAAACCAGGAGCACAGAGCAGCTGTCCTGCACACGTACCTCTTCCCGAAGCATAGTGAAGAGGAAGTTCATGAGGACAGCATGCTTGCGAGGGTACTTCTGGCACAGCGCGTTGATGGCCTGCACCACTACCACCTGCAGCAAAGGGGGGCAAGGGAAAAGGGATTCTGTCTCACCAGGCAGGAAAACAGCTGAATTGTGTCAATTTTGTGCTGGTCCCCAGCCTAGAAATGATGTTTTTGCCCTTACTTATCCAACAAATGCAGTCCCAGGGGGTAAAATCCTAGGGACTGGAAGAGATTGACCTTTATGCACAGGGCAGCCCCTACCAAAAGCCCACACCCGCAGGAAAGAAGAAAAAGATATTTAATTCTCAAAGGGCTTTCCCCAGAAGTGATCATGTGGCTCTGGAGCTGGGTGCTGTGTGACCAAGGCATGGCTTAGGCCGATAGCCTCAGATTCTTTCTCTTCCCTGCAAACACTCTGCAGCTCCTGGCAGCAGCTTCATGCATGTTCCAGGGTGCACAAACATGGACAAGTACTAAGGGGCTTCTTCAGGAATCTGCATGTCCCTCCTCCTGCCTTACCTTGAACTCATCTGAGATCTCTGACATGAAGGAGGAGATCTGCTTCATGAGCCGGTCGATGCTGCTCTCGCTGCCAGTCTTCAGCAGCGTGGTGATGGCCAGGGTGGCAATGCTGCGGTTGGAGTCTGTCACAAGGTTCTCCAGGTCCAGGTTACAGGCAGTCACTGCAGATGGGTGCTTCATGGCCACCTAGAGCAGAGAAGGAGTAGTGGAAATCACTCAATAGATGCAAAAGGCTCAGCTGGCAAAACGCATCAAATCTTTATAGGCTTTCACTCCTTGCTGGAAAATAAATGCTACAGACTGTATGTGAGGATCATCTCAGACAAACAACTAATCTGAGGTTAAAGTAACCAGCTATTTCTTCCTGCAGAACTGCATCTCTTGCTGCAAGAGAAGCAACAGTAATAAACAACCTTTTACTATTTTTAACTTGTTCTCCTCTACATATTATGAAAAGAAAGCTCTGAACTTCCCACAAAAACTGAGTGAGCCTCGCTGTGCAGAACAGCTCGGTGGGCGGAAGCACAGCAGTTACAGACACTGACAGTCTGTCTATTTCTTCTTTAGAGCTTATGGGGTCAAAGGAAAAGCTGCAGCAAAGATTGTCACAGAGCAGGCAAGAAGCAGCATCAAGGTTTGATCCCTGTTTTACAAGGAGCTCCTTCACCACGGGCAGCTCAGAAGGGAAAGCAGTAACACGTAAGACCAGTGACACTCTCAGAGAGACCTGTGACAGTGACTGCCTGCCTCCTTCTGTAAAGTGTTCTTTGAGGTTTTATTCCACTCTGAAAGCAATGACATGTACAGCTGCAGCTTACGCAGAATCATCTCAGAATCTGCCCCCCCTTCTCCTCTGGGTTCTGCACCTCCCTGCACATGGGAACCTGTCACAGGTCCTACCTTGTTGAGGGTTCGGACGGCCGCATACCTCAGTGCTGCTTTGGGGGAGCTGCAGAACAGCTGCAGAACTGCAAGGTGGGAAAATCAACAAAGGCAGACGTTTAGGCAATCTAGTACTGACAAGTGCTCATACCTAAAGCAAGAGCTTCAACGAAGAGACAGCTGCAAGCACGAGACAACTAGAAGCATGCTTAAGAAGCAACTGGGAATTCACCAGCTTCCTCCCCATTGTGCCC